ATGATATGATGACTCAAAAAAACACAAGCAATCTGCCTGCCTGCCTGCCCGCCCACCCGTAAGGAGGAACAAACATGTTAATGCAGAGTATAAGAAGAACACTAGACAAGCATGGCCTTCATGTTGTCACTCTTGACCAACAAGAACATAAAAGGTGGATTTGAACTTGCAAAAATTCATTTAGCATAGACCTGTGGAGTTCTGGAAGAATGCTTTATGGAGTGATGTGACCAAACTGGAACTTTTTGGATTCATGGATCAGCAGTATGTTTGGTATAAAAAAAGGCAAAGCTTACAAGCAGTAGAACACAATCTCCATGGCCAAACATGGAGGTGGACAAGTCTTGTTATGGGGGTGCTTTGCTGTTGGAGGACATGGAAATCTTAACTGTATGAAGGATCAGGCCATTTTGGCAAGAATTGTGAATTGTGCATTGTGAATTTTGCAAGAATTTAGTGCAGAGACTAAAGATTTTACTTTCCTGCAGGACAACAATCCAAAGTATACATCCAAATATACTTATGCTTGTTTGAAGGATCGATAGTAGATTGTTCTTGAGTGGCCTGTTCGGTCTAAGGATTTATATCTAGTACAAGAACACCACTAGAAGACTGCTCTTGATCAAGAAGAACATAAAAGGCTGACTTCTATGCTAAAATTTATTTGGATAGACCTGTGGAGTTCTGGAAGAATGCTTTATGGAGTGATGTGACCAAACTGGAACTTTTTGGATTCATGGATCAGCAGTATGTTTGGTATAAAAAAAGGCAAAGCTTACAAGCAGAAGAACACAATCTCCATGGCCAAACATGGAGGTGGACAAGTCTTGTTATAGGGGTGCTTTGCTGTTGGAGGACATGGAAATCTTAACTGTATGAAGGATCAGGCCATTTTGGCAAGAATTGTGAATTGTGCATTGTGAATTGTGCAAGAATTTAGTGCAGAGACTAAAGATTTGACTTTCCTGCAGGACAATAATCCAAAGTATACATCCAAATATACTTATGCTTGTTTGAAGGATCGATAGTAGACTGTTCTTGAGTGGCCTGTTCGGTCTAAGGATTTATATCTCATTAAAAATATTTGGTGTAATTTGAAAAAAAAGCAGTGGTAATGTGAAAAACAAAGATTATCAGTGATCTGGAAGCTTTTTCAAGCAAAGAATGGGCCAAGACTGCAGTAGACAGGTGACAGAAGCTTCAAAGCACTCACAGAGTTTATTGGAGATTATAAAGAACAAAACATTGTGCACCAAATTTGACTTTTGGGGGTTTAATAATTTTGTATATGAATGTTTAGAGCCAATTAGATTTTTCTTTTTCATTATTCATCAACTTTACTTTCTCAGAATTACTCAAGTGTGCATGTATTTATATATACATAATAAATATACACAGTACTCACACATACCTGTATATTATGTAAACAAAAACTTTTATTTCGGATGCGATTAATCGCAATTAATCGTT